CAGCAGGACAATGACCCTAAGCACACAGCAAGAGTGGCTTATAGACAACTCTGTGAATGTCCTTGAGTGGCCCATCCAGAGCCTGAGCTTGAACCCAGTCAAATATTTCTGGAGAAACTTGAAAATTTGCATTTTCTCCCATCCAATCTGACAGCGCTTGAGAGGTGAAGAGGTGAGGAGAAGAATGGCAGATAATTGCCAAATGATGATGATCAAAGCTTGTCACATCAAACAAAAAAGTCTTGAGACTGTAAAGGTGCTTCAGCTAAATATTGTTATACTTATGCATACTTATGAATACTTATGCAATGTACTTATTTCAGTTTTTTTTTGAAATTTTTTTTTTAAATATATTTACGAAGTTGTGACAATTCTGTTTTTGCTTTGTCAGTATGGTGTATGGAGTGTAGATTGATGTGGAAAAAAAGTAATTTAAAGCAGTTTAACAAGGCAGCAACATAACAAAATGTGAAAAAAATGAATGGGGTATGAATACTTTCGCAAGGCACTGTACAATTGTAATTTATAAATAATACAATTCAATTACAATTTATTTATGTGCTTTATATTTTATTAAAGTTCTATTTTGACCCCTGTAGTCTGGTAATTTTTTTTACATCCATAATATTTGGGGGAGGGGGCACAATAATACAATTCTGCTTAGGGCACCCATTTGTCCAGCAGCGGCCCTGCATGCAGGTGTGACATACTGACACTCATTTAGCACCCGTGTGTGTGTGTGTGTGTGTGTGTGTGTATTTATGGTGCTTATATTAAATGGCCATGCCTACAGAGCTTTCTGTACTTCTCTTCTTTACTTTACCCTCTCCTGCACTTTCTCTCTCGTTTTCCCCTCTCCACATACTTCATCTGCTGCTCTGACCTTGGCTGGCCTGTTTTAGGGCTCACGGGGCCACGCACATGAAAGGCAGCGAGTCATAAGCGCGGTTGTTTTATGAGCGCAGTGGTGTGATTGATAGCCGAGGGGCGTAGCCACCTGTGGAGACGGGGCGGGTTCCTGAAGTGCATTTAACCCCTGTGGAAACAAGGGGACAAAATCTGGCTGATTCTCAGAAAGTCAGAGTTATTACAGATCAGACGAGACTGAAAGCAGTGACTCACTCACTCACTCACTCACTCACTCTCACACACACACACACATACGCTCACTCACTCACTCACTCACACAGACACACACACACACACACACACACTCACTCACTCACACAGGCACAGACAGACACACACACACACACACACACATATAGACACACACACAGTGACCTCTCGCTGTCCTGACTCGCTAAGCTGAGATATGTGGGCTGAGTTTAGCGGCAGTGAATCAGTTTGACATGTGGTTTGAGGGAGACCTGCAACACACTCACAATGTCAACACTACTGCACTTTAACCAAAATCTCTCTCCCTCTCTCGTTCTAGTCTATTCCAGTCATTATAATTTGCCTTTATACCTACTGTATTGTAGGATCTGTTGCAGTGTATCTCACATTTTACTGTGTGTTTGGCCACATGCTCATACACACTGTTTTTTTTTTTCATTTTGTATATTTGTTTTGTCTTTGATAGAAAATAACATTTTAAGTTTAAGCTGGATTTATATAGTTTGAACGCTAGGGATAATTCTCCCAAAAATGTTAATTCTGTATGCACATACACAATGTTGCTTTTGTTGTTTTTTTTTGTAGTCCAATATTCATCTTAAGGATGTCTTTATTATGAGGTTGATTTAGAGTCGTGTTAAATCAGATTTACTTCTTGGGGGATTTTCACGTAAGGTATGTTCTCATGATGAAACACAGGGCTCTCAGAACATCTTTAAAAGTTGATGTATTCTTCTTGACTCTTCATGTGTTTTTGATTTCTGACTTGCATTTGTTTTAAAATGCAGGACTCATATGATGAATTGAGAGTCGAAGACTTTTTGTTTCGAAAGAAATTCATACTTTTATTTAGCAGTGATGCATTAAATTGATCACTAGTTCTTTTGAGCTTTATATTCATCAAAGACTTTCAACATTGATAATAAGAAGAAATTATTCTAGATCAGTAATGATGCTGAAACTTCAGCCAAAAAGGAAATTGTTGTCATCATTTACTCACCCTCACGTTGTTCCAAACCTATGTGACTTAATTTCTTCTGCTGAACACAAAAGAAGATATTTTGAGTGAAGGTCAGTGGTAAACAGACTTTCTTTAAAATATCTGATTTGGATTTTCATTGTTGGGTGAACCGTCCCATTCAGACTTCCATGCTCTGTTATATATTTTATTGCCCCCCTGTTTGTGGAAAATGCACTCCTCTTGAATTGAATGTTAAAACTAGAGGATTCCCTGAGTGATCTGTCATATTCAGTTATTTGTTACTTTTGTTTAGAGCCGGATATTGTGGATTGACGAGAAGAATCTAACAGCTCATGTGGAGGCTGGGATCATTGGACAGGATCTGGAGAGACAGGTCAGTCATCCACACACTGGTTTTACAACCACACTACCATAACCATTTCGTTTCTGACCAAAGAGCTTCCTGCGGCTTCCTTTGCATTCGGTTTTAATTTATATGTGACCCTGGACCACAAAACCAGTCATAAGGGTCAAAATGTTTAAATTGAGATTTATACATCATCTGAAAGCTGAATAAATAAGCTTTCCATTGATGTATTGTATTGTATGGTTTGTTAGGATAGGACAATATTTGAACGAGATACAACTATTTGAAAATCTGGAATCTGATGGAGCAAAAAAATCAAAATATTGAGAAAATCACCCTTAAAGTTGTCCAAATGAAGTAAAATTAGTTGTTCCAATTTAGCAGACTTTAAGTATACCAGTTTAGTATACCAAAAAAAGTACAATTGTAGGGTATTTTTATTAAGCACATAAATATGTTAAAGGGGTCATATGATGTTGCTAAAAAAAACATTATTTTGTGTATTTGGTGTAATGAAATGTGTTT